GTCGCTCTGCAACAGCAAGGGAAGTACTGGCTCCCACCCAGGACTCCACCCTGGAGGCATTCTGAAGGCAGCTGGGCCTGCATCTACCCGTGCCGCGACTGCTGGACTTCAGGGAAGTTGGGAGCGGCCTGGCCTTCTCTGGGCAGCTGCCCAGTGGCTGGGTGAGGGCAGGACAGGACGGGGCAGTCCCCTCTGCCCAAAGACAGCACGTGCGGGGCGGAAGAGCGACCCCATGCCCTGCCCAAACCCGCGCAGGCAGCCACGAGAGATAGGAGGCCGACCCGGGGAGGCGGGCAGGGAAGGCTGAACGAGGGGCCAAGGAAGGAAAGCCCGCGATGGCAGAGTGCGGAGCAAACACGCGAGGCTCAGGGGCTCTAGCCCCGTCCGCACTCAGTGCCTGCGCTGTCCAGGTGAATGCGGGCGCCCGTTGCCCGGCTCTGCCCATGTATAGAAGGCACAACAACGCGAGTCAGGACCCCCTGTCCTGAATACTGGTTATAGCCAGCAACTGTTTATTGAAAGTAGCAATAGCCCAGGGGTGCCACCTTCAGGCCTGGATGTGACTCTTGGCGCTGAAGGCCAGGTAGTAGATCACTAGGCCGATGGCTGCAGCCAACACCTCGGTAGAGACCCAGGGCCCGTTCCAGGTGCCCTGCAAGAAAGGAGACCAAAGCCAGCTCAGGGGAGAGCTGGGCAGGGAGCCAGCCAGCCCCAGTCACTCTCCCTCTAGGGCACAAAAGCACACTGGCCAACTACAGCCCAATCCCATCGCTCATAAAGGGCGAGGCTTGCTGTGTGCTCCCTGCTTTCCCAGAGACCAGGCAGCCTCTTCGGCCCACTCACCCGATGGTCCACACTGACTGTGAATAGGGGCGGGATGACGGAAATGTCCTCATTATTTCTCTGAGCCTGCAAGGGAGATGCTGGGGTCAGGGTTGCTGCCAGGTGGGGTGGGGAGGGGTTGGACAGGCAGTAACATTGGCCTGAGTCATGGAAGAGAGGAGAACCGGGCAAGAGAGGAGCATGGGAGGTGCAGGGACAGGTGGGGCAAGTGGTCAGGGAGGTGCCCACCCGGCCATTCTGCACTGCGCAAGTGAGGCCCCTACTGGCCTGGAGCTTCGGTGAGAAGGGGCTGCAGGGTGGAGACGGCTGTGGAAGTGGGGGGTACCCTCCCTCCTGGAGGCCTGGGAGGGGCTCCAGGTGATGGACCCTCACCTTCCTCAGGAGGCTGTAGGACTCCTCATCAAAGAATCTGACCTCGTAGGTACCTGCGTGGGCGCTCTTGTGGTCTAGGCTCCAGGATACCTGGGTTGGGGATGTTCGGCAGGGGTGGGTGCAGTGGACAGTACCGCCACCAGCCGCCCGCGTCAGAGAACCTCAGTCCTCCTCCACTGGGCCACCCCTAGAGCTTCAAAGTCATGCCAGGGAGCAAGAGGCCTCCCCTCAAAATGACAACTATGGCATCCCTTACCTGATAACGCCCCACATCCTGGCCCCGGGTGACAGGAAATTGTTTTCCACTGACATCAGCATAAAGAGCCATGTTCTGGAAGAGGGAACAAAGAGAGTCACCTTCTCCCCTCTCTGGCGCTCAGCAGAAGCCCCACTGTGCTGCCCACAGCAGCCCCCATGGCCTATGGGCAGGGAGCACCACGGGAGATCCATGGAGGTAGCCTGCCACAACTCAGGGCCGTGCCAAGAAGCCAACACCCACCGATGCTGTTACTGCCTCTCTGCATGTCTCCCCTGTGTGGGGGGGCATGTACCCCCTGTGGCCTAGCCTCCCTAACCCACAGCTAGCCTGTTAACTGTGAACAGAGGCAGGATGACTAAAGTGTACTCGTAATGCCTCTGAGTCTGGAAGTGGGTGTTGGGGTCAGGGGGTGCCCAATGAGCCACCCAAGGAATGTTGTACCCAGACCAGAAAGGCCACACCTTGGCAGACAGCAACCAGAAAAAGGGATACAGGAGCCTGGGGGCTAAACTCCTGCTGTTTCTCACTTCAGCGTATGCTCTCATCAGGCACAGCAAGACGTCTACCTACGTTTTCGCACCTAGGCAGAGCAGATCAGGAAAATGTTCTTTTAACATCTGCTTTAAACCGTCTGGCCTGGCTATACCCTGACCTCTCTCTCCTATACCTGTAAGTCAAAATCCTCATTCTGTCTGCATGGCTACATGGGTCTGACCCCATCAGCTGCCAGTGAGGA